AAAAAAAAAAAATAGCCAGGCATTGTGGCGGGCACCTGTAAGTAAGCAGGAGATGAGGGGAAGTGCAAAGCCCCGAAACCCCATTATGCCTTTCCCAGTCCCTCAGCCATGGAGACTGTATTCCCAGCCTCCAACAAGTACCTTTCTGGCGAGGGGGCCCAGGCCCCACATTTTGATCCCCAGGGTTAGGCCTGAGCTCTTCCAAGGGGGTCCGGAGCTGAGTGATCTCCACCAATCTCTGTGATGTGTCTGTTTGATGTGTGGCTTTTGGCCTGGGGCCTGCTGAGTCAACCAGAGGGCGTTGAATACTGCAGTTTGGCTTCTGCACCCATTTCTGGGGAGAGAAAGTGATAAAAAGCTGGAGTTTATCGTTGAGGTGCATTGCCGGTATGCTATCCCTTGCAACTACTGTCTTCATCACTAGCCCCTTCTTACCTTTGGATCTTGGTTCTCCTGGTCCACAGCACACGGTTTGACCATGGGGAAAGGCGGGCGTCTCTGAGAGAGTACCGGAATCTTGCTAGGGGTGGGAGGCACACCCTTGAGGGGATCCTTCCTGGCTTGGACGGTGGTCATGACTGCTACAATTGAGATGGGGAAGAAGGCACGAAGGATCAGGGATCAAAGGTCAACTAGTTCTTGGGGTGCCAGTCCTGACAACCCTGATACCTCCACCCAAATCCATGCGCCCACAAGCCCCCAGCGCCTGCAAGACGGGTCTTCTAGGTGCCATCTCTAGGTACCCTGAGAGTATATTCTTTCGACCTCGGACCCCAAACTGCTCTCCTACCTATAAGCCCCCGCAGCCCTCACTCCCTCCAAGATTCCCATGGAACACCTTCCCGAGAACCCCTCCCGGTCGCCCCCGCTTTCTTCGCTTTTGCCCAGATTCTCGGCTTCAGCAGCAGTTCTTTCCCCAGTTTGTAAAATACGCGAAGCTCCTGATTGGTTAGTCTGCGCTTCCGAGAAGGCGCGTGACATCTGACGCAGCCGTCCAATCCACAGGCTTCGGAGGCGGGGCCAAAGGAAGTGGGGGCAGTCGAACCGCTATCAGACCGGGAAAAACTGACCCGGCCCATCAGCCAATCCCAGAGTGGAACGCGAATGAAAAGCGGCGAACCAGAAAGGAAGAAGCAGTTCTGGTGCCGGAGAAGGCCTGGCGCTCCGAGTCTGAGCGACAGCGGGAGCCGCTATACTCTCGCGAGCTCTCGGAACTGGTGCGGGGTGGGCCACTGGCAAAAGAGCCGCGAGATTGTGGGAAGGTCTGGACCGCTGGGTTGTGGCCGGCAGTGTTGGAGGCTGTCTACAGCCACTGACCTGACTCTGATCATAGGGATGCGCCACGCTTTGGGAACGCCATTGCAGTTATCTATAATAACTTGCTTATAGATATGCAAGTTATTCCTGGGACGAGGGACCCCCTCCAAATAAGCTGAGAGGGCTGGGAGCCTGCAACCCAGTGAGGTGTGGTCTCTACAGATAAGAAATGGGACTCGTTGTCGTTGAGCTCAGTTAACACAACACTAGAATGGAATGGCTCCTTACAGCTAGGAGTCTTCTCACCTAGAGGTCTGGATAGAGGGAGCTTGCTTCCTGGTTATTGGCAAGTAGGGGTGTGAGATCTTATCCTCCTTAGGACGGAAGGGATAACCCCTAATGGAGGACAGGAAATGGACAATGGTCTCAAGTTTACAGGATTTTGGTAGATTTCCCCTCTGACCACAGCTGGTCCTATTACACAAGCGGTTCCTATTACACAAGGAACCTCAGTTATTCCTAAACTACTCCCGACTCCTTTCCATATCCCATCTCTTGTCCACTCTTACAAATTTTACTTTTTTTTTTTTTTTTTAAGAAACAGTATCCTCACTATATTGCCCAGGCTAGACTGCAGCAGCACGATCATAGTCATTGTACCTTCCAACTCATGGGCTCAGCGATCCTCCCACCTCAGCCTCCCAAGTTGTGGGATGCCCATCATGTGATCCCGAACTCGTGGCCTCCCATGGTGCTGGGATTACAGGCACTAACCACCGTGCCTGCCCTAATCTTACTTTAAAAGCACCTACTTTCTTCATCATTACTATCACGCTAATATTACTTAGAAGATTACAAGAATTTCTTAGTCTCCGTTCTCTCTTTCTTTCTACATCATCCATTCTCCATATAGCAGCTAGAATAATCTTTCCAAAATGCAAATCTGGTCACATGACTACTATATATTGACCTCTACCCACACAAACATTCCATTTTGTACCACTCTTCCCCCACCCTTCCAACTCCATGGCCTCTTTCAATTCCTCAAATTTGTCATACTCCTTGCAATCCCTCTGTCTGGAATGCCTTCTTTGCTTCCACTTTGCCTATTTATACTTCCAAACTGATACCCATTGTTACTTCCTCAGAGAGGCCTTCCTTGAACCTCTCTGCCCCAAACTCACCCCAATCTAGAAAAGATTCCTTGGTTATGTGCTCTTAATGGGTAGTGTGTGTATCCTCAGAGCATGTATCTCAGTTGGTAATGTGAACATAATATGTTTATTAAACTCAGTCTCCCCCAATAAACCTCTAAGAGGACAGTTCTTTTCTTTCTTTCTTTTCTGAGACAGAGTCTCACTTTGTCGCCCTCGGTAGAGTGCCGTGACATCACAGCTCACAGCAACCTCAAACTCTTGGGCTTAAGAGATTCTCTTGCCTCAGCCTCAAATAGCTGGGACTACAATGCCCAGCTATTTTTTTTTTTTTAATTGCAGTTGTCAATGGGCTTAAGAGATTCTCTTGGCTCGGCACCTGTGGCTCAAGTGGCTAAGGCGCCAGCCACATACACCTAAGAGTATGGTGTACTCCAGCCCAGGCCTGCCAAACAACAATGATGGCTACAACCAAAAAATAGCCAGGCATTGTGGCGAGCGCCTGTGGTCCCAGCTACTTGGGAGGCTGAGTCAGGAGACTCACTTGAGCCCAGGAGTTGGAGGTTGCTGTGAGCTGTGATGCCACGGCACTCTACCCAGG